GTTCATAAAGTGCAATGACTGCGGGGCGCGGTTTATTGAGGCGGAGTGCCGGAAGACGGTGGAGGAATGGCTGCAGATGATCGGAGACGATTCGTCGCCGCAGAAATTGCTGGTTTCCGACAAGGTTATCGGACCCGAATTGCACTTCTCCCCTCCGGTTTATATGCAGGTTCGTGTATCTCTTTTAAATGATTTACTTTGAAACAATGGTCATGACGTTTAATTGGAATCAAATCATGCGGACAAGACACGTTATAATTATCAACTTAAAAAGTTCATTAAGTCGAAAGTTGAAATTCTAACTTCATATTTTTTATTCTAAAAATTAAAGGTTTAAAAGCGTCACCGGTCAAGAAATTTAGTAAGCATAAGATAAAAAGAAAAATGAACAGAACACAAAATAGTTATATGGACCAAAGAACAAAAATTGATAGTACAGGGACCAAAGTGGACGTTTGTACATCGATCAAATAAAATTCTTTAATACACAAAAGTAATTAAAATAGTCTGTTAAAAGTACGAGGATGAAGACAAATATTAGAAAAGTAGGATTAAAATGAATAAAAGTTAAAAATACACGAATTAAAATAGATATTCTGGAAATATATACTGACATTTTATTTGAGATTAAAGACTAAAACAACACATTGGAAAATTTTGAAATAAAATGGAACGATTTAAAAATTTTAAAAATCAAAATTCAGATGTATCTCATATATGTTCTATATATAATATTTAATTATTATTATTATTCTAGTAGAGATCTCTAATTTATTGATGCATTTGCATAGTGAATCCAATTATTGTTTTTCTATTAAAGTTGCATATTCTTTATAGCATCAACACCACATTCAGAAAAAGAAGGAAAATTTTCTTCAAAAAGAAAATAAGAAGAATAATAAGAAAGAAATTTAAGTATTAAATAATTTTAATTTTTTTATTTTCTGGAAATATTAGTAGAAATTAATGCATGTACCTAGTATTAATTAAAACATTATTTTCTCAGATATTTAAAGCAAGCTTCCAGCTGTGCGAAATATTTTTCAAATATCTCTGTACCATTATTAGGAATTTATTTAAAGTAGACTTTTCAGATGGACCAAAAAAGTAATATAAAGAAAGAAAAAATAGAAAACTATTTTCTTTTCTCCTGCGTGCTATTGTTATAAGGATATAATAAAATTTTGATTTTTATTGTTAAGAATTTTTTTTTTTATATTTGTGAGTGTTCGCGACTAGTTTTACGATCTCTGTTAGAATTTGTGTTCACTTTCATTTCGGGTATATTTCTTTTTTTTTTTTAACTACAACGTATCGAAGTGGGTTCGAAGTCACAACCTTTTGATTTGAGATATAGCTCAATTACCGTTGAGCTAAATTCAATTTGGTATATTTCGACTTTTAAAATATTAATTTTAGTAATCTTTTTAAAATATTTAAAGTGTGTATTTATTTCTTTGTCATAAAAGTCATAATTTAAAGAGGTATTTACGTTGTACAAAATAAATATATGTATTTTTAAATATAATAGAAAATTTGGAATTTTCCAAGGTATGGCATAATCCAAATCGACTCAAATATATAGTGCATACTATGTTAAAAAAAAGTTCACACTTATGTAATATTTAAAAAAAATGAAAAAATTGTGATATTTTTTCAAATATATGTTAAATTGATGCTAAGAAGTGAAATTTTTGTTGTATAATAAATAGGTAGTATTTTTGTTGTTATCATATTTTCAACAATTTAGAATATAAGATTCTTCCGAGTAGAGACTAAATATAAAGTTCAACAATATTTAGATTAAATTACAAAAAGTAGTCTTGAACTTGCTTTTTGTTGCAAAATTATATTTATTCTTAAAAGTTTTAATACTATACTTGATGTTTAATAAACATTTTAAAAATACTCTTCCAACAAACATCTATTAATATTTTGAATAGAAAGTTGACGTGGAGAATATAGAACGATGTGATAGTTTCTTCCACATTTCTTTTTCTATTGTATACAGAGTTTGCTTCTTCGTTGTCTACTTAATTTTGTCTCGATCCCCTTTTTTAAATAGAATATGGTTTGTTTTCATTAATGGTAGTCCTTTCTAGTCGGAGGTAGGTAGCTTTCTAATAACACTTTGCGATTTTCATTAAATACTATTTTGTTGCTCATATTTTTTGCTTTAGTGTATTTTGATCTATATACTTTCAAATTTTTATTGTATTTTAAAAAAATTAGCGAGTGAATTGTCGTGCTAAAATTACCACTGAAAGAAATGAGATAAAAATGAATGAACATACTAGATTTTAGAATTTGACGTTTTGAAAGTACAGGGATCAAAATAATATTTAAATCTTTAGGTCATAAATTTGAACTGCGGTACGAGAGTATTCAATGAGAGTGGTATAATATCACTAAGATTCTATGAATTGATTGATATATGTAGGATCGTATTAGCCTCAATAAGGTTACTATTTATAACATATGGTCTTTTAAAGACGGAGAATTTCAATTATTTTTTTATCAAAAAAAGAAAATAAATTCTATTATTTTAAAGTACTACAAGTAACAATTAGGACATTAAAAAAAACTGAAATAGTTATTTAAGAATATTTTATTAAATGATTATTCTAACAATAAAAAATAGTTTCAAATTTATGTGGTGTAAATATAAAGTGATCAACTTTCTTTCACATTTGTGATATGGGGTCACAATTTTTGTTTTTGAAATTAAATTTATTTTTACCTCTAAAAGTTTACGCTAAATATAGGTTCTTTTTTTTTTAATAGTCTTTAAAAAGTTTGTATTTAGTTTCTTAAATTTTAACTTTTTCCATTATACTTTTTTCTAGGTAAATATTAATATTGTCGGCTAATGATTAGAAATTTGACTCTAGCTTAATTCATTTACTATTTTTTTTTGTCAACTTAATAATATTATCTCAAGTAGACTTAACATCACTCAATTTTTATATCCACTGAAAAATAATATAATAGAATAATATTAAAATATCATAGATTAAATTCGAACAATTTTAAGCTTACACTAAATTAAAAAAAATACACCAACATTAAAAACAAAATCTATATTTAGCGAAAACTTTATTTCATTTTAGTCTTTATAAGTATCTTTTTCTTAAAAAGATGTTACAATTGAAACAAAAAGAATTATTAATACCTTAATTGAGATGTTACAATTCAAACAAAAGAATTATTAATACCTTAATCAATTAATCTACGTTCAAGCTTACCTAATTTTTGTTTTACTTAATTTTCGTAAATACTCGTTTTGATCTATGTCATTAATTTTTTCTATGACATATTTCTTAATATAATATCAAAATAAAATACTTCAAAATACAAAAACAAATATAAATAAGCACAAAAATTAAAATACTAACTACTAGGACAAGAATTGGACTAAAAAATGTCAAACCGAACATAATTCAGTAAAACAAGCGTCGTTCCTAAACGTTGATTCTCTAAAAAATTATAAATTATAAATTAAAAATAAAAAAAATTATAAATTCCAAAAATAAAAGCCAATTTTATTTGCAGGTGACGAGATTCAAATGCAGAGGAATCTCAATAGGGCTAAGCTGGGCCCACGTTCTCGGCGACGCCTTCTCCGCCGCCGCTTTTATAAACTCCCTCGCCGCTCTCCTCTTCGGCGGCGCCGCCGTCACTCCTCTGTCGCCGCCGCCGCCGCCGCCCGGAATCGGCAACATCGCCACCACTCCGCCGCCGAAGCCCCCATCCTCCGCCGCCGCGAAACCCCCACTCTCCCTCCGACGAATCGACCCAGTCGGCGACCACTGGATCCCCACCAACAACTCCAAAATGGAATCATTTTCCTTCAATTTAAACGCTACCCAATTGGCCCAATTGCAAACCCAAATGCCCCGCCAAACCCCACCTTTCGAATCCATCGCCGCCGCGCTCTGGCAGTCCGTGGCTAATCTCCGGCGAGGCTCCGAACCCACGACGGTGACTCTCTGCAAACTCGACCCAATTAAGCAACAGGGGAAGATAATTGGGAACGCCCAAAAAATCAGCACAGTCAAATCCGGCGCCGCCGTCTCCGTCACTGACCGGAGGGAGCTGGCGGATCTGCTGGTCGTCGGCGCGGCGGAGGAAGAAGGAGACCTGGTTGAGGAGGCAGTGGAGAGAGACAATGGAGTCGGTGATTTCATTGTGTATGGAGCCAATCTGACATTTGTGAAATGGGATGAAGCTGACTTCTATGGAGAGGAAATGGGAATGGATTTTGAGAGGCCAAAATTTGTGTACTACGCCGTGGACGGCGTCGGAGACAGCGGAGCTGTGGTGGTGGTTCCGGGACTGGGTGGCAGCGGAGGGAGGTTTGTGACTGTGATTCTGCGGGAGAATGAGGAGGTGGGGCTGAAAGCTGAGTTGATAGCAAATGGAATGTTATTGTAACATTTAAGGATGGCGAGGAGAAGGTTGACTTTCACTGGCGATGAGTGAATAATATTTAATAGGTAAAAACTCCTACTTTCTGTAGACCAGTAATAAAATATCGGATCAAAAAGTCAGAAAAAGATTCTATATAGCAGTGTGTAAATGGGTGTTTCCAATTATTGAGTGCAAGAAATGATGAAACTTTTATAGGGGAGAACATCTACTAAGAATAATGTTGGTAGGTCGGTAATAAAAATATACCGTATCAAAAAGTCAGTAAAAACTTTGATAACGGTGTATTCATCTATATTTTTCAGTCTAAGAGTGAAAGAATATTTGGAATGGGGGAAGAAAATAAGAAATGTTTGTATTCAAGTTGATATAGAAAGCTTCATATGATGAAACTTTGAAGAAATACTATTTGCTAAGTTAAAAAAATTATCATCCAAAATAGAAAATCAGAAACTATAGAATTGGAGTCATAAATGAAAAGGTTGAAATGTGTATATATAAAAATATAAAACTCAATTTCATTATAGATTTTTCCTCTGCGTGAACTAAAACAAGTATATTTTGACTTATCCTCTTAAATTATTAATAAAAACATTGGATATTTTAAAAAGATTTAATAATCTAAACAAGAAATAATATAAATACAAAATTTGTCATACAATTACATACACTTAGAATATGTATATCGGATTTATTTTTTTATTAAAAAATAACTTTAAAACTATGAAATTGAAAATTTTCCCATGCAAAATCCCCCAATCTCCACATGATGAATCCCTAAATCAAGAAATGGGGCAAAGATAAGTATTAAAAAAGATCTCAATGAGATTAAGGTTGGGAATTTTTAACTAATAATTGTGAAGAAAAACTTGCTAGAAACTTTTTTCCTTTTTTACCCAAATTAAATAAAATTGTTATTGAAACTTAGGTCTAAAATAGAATGTTTATAACTTTGATGGTAAAGTTATATACATTTAAGTACCAAATTTGTGTTTTAAACTCATTTTTGACTAATATGCACACAAAAAAATCATTTTTTAAAAAATATTATTTTTAGTTTTAATTCATTTAAAAACGTTCATTTTAATTCCTAAACATCAATTTTTGTTCATATTAATTTATGTACTTTCAAAACATTACCTTCATCCATTTTAATTCCTAAACATCAACTTTTAGTCATATTACTTCATGTACTTTCAAAACATTACCTTTCTTTTCGTTGTTGTACTTCTAAAAAGTAATCATTTTTATCTTGTAAGTTCTATTCTGATCTCATTTATTTTGATTAAAATTTTATCCCTATTTAAATATAACCATAAATTTGTATGAAAATGTTTCTATGATGTATGAAAATTTGTATGAAGTTTTGACAAAGAGAAACCAAAAACATTACTTTTTAAAAGTATAGAAATCAATACATATGTTTTTAACGTACCGGGACCATAATAAAACAAAGCCGAAAGTAAATAGTATTCAAAATGCAGGGTTTATAAAGGAAGGGGTTCTTGAACGTACCCTCATGTTTCATTGATTCTGATAGAAAACTCTGTACAGCCTCCATTCTGGTTCTCTTATATTTCCATCTGTCCCTCCATTTATGGAGAGAGACCTCAGCTTCTAACAAATGACTTCCATGGCCACCAAAATCTGGCTGCAAAACACAAAGCTAGCAAAGCAAACACAGAGAAGAGAAGAGAAGAGAAATTTTGTTGTGCCTATAATAATAAGCTTTCTGAATCTTAAGGAGCAACCAGCAGACTGAATATAACCATCTTCTAGGAGTGGAAAAATGAAGATTATGAATGCTAATCAATCCACAGGCCCATAAATGAATTGCACTACTTTCCTTTTCCCTCTATCTTACATTTCTGTAAATAAAAGTTCTATGATACAAATCAAAATTGTGGTGGAGTTGTAAAGACCACATCTAATTCCTTTCACATTCCCAATTAGAAAGTGCTTTTTTCAGCTCCAAGCAAATTAAATAAAATACCACAAGCTCTCACACCTCCTCTCTCTCTCTCTCTCTCTTCTCTGGCAGGCAATCCTCTCAGAGTTTGCCTTTATGAATTTTCTCATTTCAATGAATTAGTTATTTAATGTCCTAAGCCAAAAACCACCTCCATATCTAGCCCTCCACTCCTCAATGGATCAAGAAGCATTCCAGAGTGCATGTCAGATGCCAGTTCCAGTCAACAATTTGACAGCAAGATGATCAAAATCACATGTCCAGCCCCAGTTGCCAGAACCAAGCAAGAATGCAGTGGAAGAACGGAATCGGATTCCATATCGAGAGATGGCTGTCTGTGGATCGCCACTCCGACACGATTCTAAGGTGGGATTTACCTCCAGTCCAGTGGAGCCAAGTTGGTAAAAATCATGCCCAAGCATCATCAGTATGGAATAACATAAGGCAGAGCATAAACGTCAGCTGATTCTATCTGCATCGCGTCGGCCCATACCTGCCGCGTTTCCTCGCCCTCTGTATCTTCCAACTTGGGCTTCATCGCTTGGGAAGTATTGCTGCTAAATAACCATTCTTGGCTATCAGAATCTGACAATTCCTCCATTTTGGGTACTGAATATACCTGGCTCAAGTACTTGGAATCTGGATGGGGTGATTTCTTATGTACTACAGTAGGTTGAGGTTGATCATCTTGTCCGCTAGACACATGTTTCGAAGAGGCAGGCAGGTGGTGGTGAGCTTCAATAATGCCATTAATCTTGCGTTCTTTACTACCCGGAATAAGGTCATTTGCCACAGCCTGACTTTCTGAAGGAGGCAGGATGGAGGTCACGCACGGTTTCAGTATCCTACCATTTTCCTTCAATGGATGAGCAGTGGGCCTCAACAACTTACTGGATCTGTTGTCAATTGCTGAAAGAAAATTAAGAAAACTATTTTGAGAGCTTAAAAAGTTACCAGTATTAACTACAGCCAATTTCAATTAATAGAACCATAGCCAAATAATTACATGGTTCATTTATACAAATGAACTCACTCACCATGCAAGATTCCATTGGGCTCAAAATCCTTCCGTTTCTTAATTAGTTTTTCCTCAACTGCAGCACCTATATTGCTGTCAGGAAGTTGTGATGTATTTGTATTTGTAGAATATCTACCTAATAGGTTATCCTTATTGATCTCTTTTGTTTTATCTACCATGGCATTCTTCTCTTCCACCTTCTCCTTCTCCTTCTCCTTCTGCTTCTCCTTCTCCTTCTCCTTCTCCTTCGCTTTCTTTTCTTTTTTCTTCTCTTTATGATTTGATCGTCCTTTCTTGTCTTTATCTTTATCCTTGTGTTTGCTCCCTTGCTTTCCTTCACTTTCCTTCGGTCTGATCTTATCATTTGTTTCTTTCCTTCTCTCGGCAACTTTATCCAATGATTTAAACATTCCTGCAACTCCAGATTCAACAGTTGCAGTTGCAGTAGAACTCGGGACTGCAGAATTTCCACTAAATCTTTCCTCATGTCTAATTCCTTGACCATTGTATGTTCTTTCATCAATTTTCCTGTTCTTGTTCTGTTCCTTGCCTTCAGTAAAGGTCTCAGAACTCCTAGCCACCACTGTGGCCATTCCATCATCCCTTTTAGGCCGTGCAACAGCAAATTTCTCAAGCTTTGTAGTTCCAATGTCCTCAATTCTCCTTCCCACCTCTGGAAACAATGTCGTGTTCTTTGTCTCCTTAGAAAGAAAAGCATTCTGACTAATCTTATTTCCGACATAAGAATCAAATTGCCCACCATTCTTCTCCTCCTGGACATTGTTATGTTTGACTCTAACAACTTCCTCTCCATTTTGACTCCCAGTTTCCCCCAATGGTCTACTCTCCTCAGAGGCATGTGCTTTCTCCTTCTCCTTCTCCTTGTCCTTCTTATCTCTATCCTTCTTTTTGTCCCTGTCTTTCTTCTTGTCTTTCTTTTCCCGGCGCTTCTCATCACTTCTATCCTTGTCTCTTTTTTCTTTACCCTCTCTCTTCTCTTTCTCTTTCTTCTCCTTTTTATGCTTTTTCTCTTTGCTCTTCTCCTGCCAATCAGAAATAAAAGCATGAATATTAGAGCAACATCGTTTCAAAATAAGGGGAAAACCAAGTCTTTTCTCAATTTCTAAATGCTGAGTTAATAACCTATGAAATGATAAAACCTGCTGCCATTATTAGAAGTTTAAATTTGAAACAAGATACATAAAATTACTGTTCATCTCTAATTTAAATTAAAAGGTGCTGCAAGAAATGATCAAAACGAATTGACAAAATTCAGATTTAAGAGAAAGTGTTCAAATTCAACACACCACATCATCAGAGAAGCAGTTACAAACTACTGCACGAGAAAACCAGACGTTTGTGACCAAAACGTCAAGGCATCTGTGTTTCTTCCATATAAATCGATCGAATCTCACAAAGGCCTATATTTTATCCAATACCAACTTCAGTTCAAGCATTCACATTAAACCAAGAGTGGAGCTCAGCTTACGTGGGATTATAGAATGTTTCAGATATGCGCTTATTATGCAAGATGTGCATAACAAAATTATGTAAGCTTTCGAGGGCTCCAAGTATGGAACTATGGTGAGGTATCGACGCTTGATGAGAAATGGGGTCTCAGGCTGGGCAGCTTGGGAAAAAGGAATACACCTCTTACTTCTAAACAAGATTGAACATTTGTCAATAAAATGGAAGCATTGTAGCAGAGAAGCCGTTCGAATGGTGTGTCCAAATGTATTTCAGCATACTGAAATGGTATTCTTGTCTAAGGAAAGGCTACAAATCTCTTCATTATAATGAAAGCAGAAGGGGTGCAATCTTATTTTAGAAAGACCTACCTTTCAAACTCAGAGATTTAAGAATGGGCTGTTCTTTCCAATACCATTCATAAAATTTGGCTGCCTCAGTAGGTTGACATGAGAAAATGGTCTCTGAAGGAGTATTGTTCCTTTACTTGTAAGCTTCTGTTTAAGCATCTTTAAACCTTAGATGATGCTTTTGATAATTCCCACACTACAGTGACATTTATAGATCCAAACAAAATTAAGTTCTTCATTTCGATTCTCTAAGCAGTCTAGATACGGTGGATTGGTGAGCCACCAAACATAGCCCTCTGTCCTAATTGGCGCTGGTTAGGTACATATGCTGCCAAAGCCATATCTATATCTCTTTTTTCACTGCGTTCTTGATCTGGATGCAACATGGGCACCATTGAACAAAAATTGTCAGGTAAGACCACCAAATGCTAGGTTTGAAAACTAAGGACAGGTCTTGATTTTCAGCACCACTCTAACAAAGGCTGCACGAGTAAGAGGAAAAGAAAATGGAAGGGTAACTTCTTTGGACCCTGTCCAATTCATTGAGCTACACAGGACAAGCATCAAAGAAAACTTTCAACCCCTTCAGGATTCTGTTCCTATGAATGGTACAAGAAATAGGAGTAGTGATTGCAAGCAACCCAGATACAGAATAACAAAAAAAGAATTTGAACGTGAAGTCCCAAAATCTCAAGTTTCTACAGTCTGGCAACCACAAAGGTGCCCACTCCATAATTTCCTACGACTAAGAGTTTGAAGGAGATCTCATAAGCCAACCCACAAAATCCAGTATAAATTTCGCAATTCTCAAAAGTGTGTATTCTAAAAGTAGTAAATCAAATATGAAATGTGAATCAGAAAGTAAAACTTCACATAACTTCCACTCCTGTATTGTGGCTAACTAATATGTATATCTCAAAGCAGTAGTTCCTTCCTACCTCCCAAAGCTCTAAAGACAATCCCAGTCTGTCTATGCATCCCTATAAAACATGAGTGATAAGAAAGCAAAACAATATGTAGCCTATACTGCCATCAGTTTTTAAAATATATACTCTGCTAGAATGTAGGTGTCACACGTTTCTTCAACATCAACAGTCCTAACATGATTTTGGCACCTCAAAATGAGGTTTCCAATTTTTTTAGAAATTAGAATCACAAATAAGACTCCAACACATGAACGTGAACATAAGCAGGCACAAACACAAGGGAAAAAAAAAAAGAAGAAGAAAACAGCCAAGACAATTTTAGTGTGGATGTGAAGATTAAAATTTTGGGTCTATAAATTAGTCAAATATAGGTCTCATTTGAGATGCCAGAAAAATTACAACCCAATAGCAGCAACGTCCTACATTCCAAACAAAAATCAGTTTTAAGGGTTGATAAAAATATAGAAACCTCAGCCATAAACCCCACCCCATCATCTTGTTAGCTTCTCCAAGAGCAAGGTCCAACTTTATCTCACTCACCTCCCATGCTCGACCACACTTTCATTTTTTATTTCTCCTTTCCTGCCCTTATCTCTCTCAAGTTCTCGATTCATATCACTATGATTTATCCTTCTCTCTTCACATAACAAGCCATATATCTCGATTTAGATACCCAGACTCACAATTAGGGAGTTATGCATCTTATTCTATATTCCATACCGTACTTTATATATAAGTTTCATTTGTAACTTCCAATAGAAAACGCTGAGAACTTGCAAAGTAGATTACAATATGAAACTAGTGCTTCGGTATGCTGCATCTCTTTGCCTATGTTATGTTGGCTTCACATGAGGGCCTTAAGGTTCTCATTTGAATGAGCATGTTGAAAAATGGAAGTGATCTTCTCCAGGTCACCAAAAAAGCCCACTGGGACTTTATCCTTACAATATAGTTAAGGGGAGCACTCAAGAAAAGATGGAAACGTAATTTAAAGATCTGAAAGGGAGATTTACAAGTGCAAATCCCAAATGAATTCCAAAAATCAACAAATCAAAAATAAAATTGATAGAAACCCGATAAAAATAGGCTGACGAGAAATCAAACCAAAAAATTTGCCATCATTCAGATTCCTTCTGAAGAATCAAGAAATTAGAAGTGTTAGCATAGCAGGCTCTTCATCGGAAAATTTCCCCATAGAAGACACGAAATAATTCTTGTGTAGAAACTAGAAAGCACTGGAAGAGAATAGAAAGAAAACTCTCCCATATAAATAGCCCCAACAAAAAGCGTCAAGAAAAACTCTTGGAATTTTTTTGGACGAATGATATAATCATATGAGCTATCCAGTATAAAGATACAAAGATGAAAATCTGATAACACCCCACAAAAAAAATACACTAAAAATGTCAAATATAAAGCACTGGAAGAGAATGAAAGAAAACTCTCTCATATAAATAGCCCCCAACAAAAAGTGCAAGAAAAACTCTTGGAATTTTTTTGGATAAATGATATAATCATGAGCCATCCAGTATGAAGATACAAAGATGAAAGATCTGATAACACCCCATATTGAAATACTAAAAATGTCAAATGATAGGTAACACAAACGAATATATGACAAAGTATAAAGCATTTTTAACGAAAATATTTTTCTGAAAAATCATAGGAACATCCACCAAGCCAAAAAAAAAGGCTACATCAAACAGTGGACCAAATACAAGATAACATTTTCGACCTTTCAACAATATCGGCAAATACTTCTATCATAGTAATACTAGACAAAGTGAGAAGCATATATTGGCATCTACAGATACCATTTATCCAAAGAAACACGTTAATATTGCTGAAGTATTTTTCAGACCCTCAAGAGGCAAGAGCTCTAAAGAAAACACAAACGCCCCAAAGAGAAAGAAATAAAGAAAGAAGTCAAACAAGCAAAACAAAATGTAAGGGGGACAACTGAGCACATCAAGAAATAACAAACGAAGCCAACAATGTTGTAAATTTGACAGAATGTTGACCATTAAAGAAAAATACCTCCTCTGGTACTTCTCATTGAACTTATAAAATTATCAATAATAATAAGTTTCAAATGCATGAGGTAATAGTATGAATGGAACTATTGTACTTTGCAGTAAGCAGATAGTTGAATTCTTTCAAGATCAAATCAGCTAGGAACTACAAAAGCAGGCAAAGGCATACACAATTCTTTCAAGATCTATTAGCATCCATGCTTTTTATCTAACATATTTATAGTTCCTAGAGTAGATGCATAAAACATGTTCTTATTACTTGAGGATGCTTTCAATGGTCATGCAGTATGAATGATATTCAAGTTTTTGGAAAGGTCACTGAATCGAACAGTTTAAAAAACCAATTATGCTTAAAGAAAATAGAAGGATCATCTAACTCATGTAAATGCCAAACAAGTCCAGTCATTTAAGCCTTGATTACGATTGTGAAATAATGCCTAATGAACCTCCCAAGATGGAGTAGTAGTATGGTGCTCCAAGTAGAAGCAAGAGAGCCCAGTAAATGGTTCTTCTCCACCAAATTTGTCTGTATTATTATATGTATTAGAAGGCAAAGTAAGTTATAAACCTTTTTTAGTAGGTCCGCATCCTCTGCTCTAGACTTCTTTTCATATCCTGGTGGCGGAAATGGAAAGCAGCGAGACATTGCACAGAGTAACTACACAAAATACAAGAGCTCTTTCCACAGGCGAAAATGATATAACTACTTCCCAGAAGCACTGTTCCGAAAAGGGAACGAACAAGAAACTAAGCTGCTGTCCATGCACCATGTCCTCGCATTCCTTTCCAGCTTCAATATTCCTCCATGTGCTTCTTAGTCAATCCCGCAGATGCAATTCCCAAACCTCCTCTTCCCACTTATAAACACAAGTGCAGGAATAATAAGCACAGGCCAAGAGAAACTTCTAAAATTCTCAAAAAAATAAAAATAAAAATACTAAGCTCAGCCACTGGACTAAAGGAATTCTAACCCAGCTCCCGAATGTCAGAGACAACCAAAATATGGAATTACAAAATCAACTGAAACACGGATAGAAAGAACTCCTAATTTAGCACATATTAGCTCTCCGGATCGGTCGGATTGTGAAAAATGTCAATGGTCGGACGCAATAGTCTTTTGATTTTCCTCTTGGGCAAATTATTAGCTCCTCTTTAAACCAACAGAACTCCCTAATTAGAGACGAAACACCTGATACAGTGTCGAAAATCCCTTGTAATCCAAGAAATCGATTGGTTGAGAGTGATCACTGCCAAAACAAGTCTATAACGTGCAATCCTCTTCCATGATCAGAGCAGCAAAGCTCATTGCTCACTTCATTCTAGTGGTACGTTACAGTTTCAGAAACGCAGGGCCGGCAGAGTACGGAGTAAAACCAGAATCCCACGAAAGATCGGAGCTCCAGCCCATTCTAGAGAAAGCGCGACGTCCCAGTCACAATCAGACTTTCAATCCATAGTCGACGTCAAACCCTAATGAGTGCAAACCCGAAAAAATGGAGAGCCACCCAGTTACGATCCGTCAAAACCCTAGAAAATCCACGAATACATGAGCACATAGGCAGTACGAAAAACCCTAAAATTCCATTCCCAAAACAAAAACAGACGGGAATCCGAAGAAAGGAGGAAAACGAAAAGGGAAAGAATCAAAACACTGAAAAAGAATACCTATGGAGATTATAGGGTATCGATGGAAAAGGGGGATTCAGCGCGAAAACGCAGATTTTGGGTGGATGGAAAAGAAAGTGAAAGGGGAATTGGGGAACGAGATTACCTTGTCCGCTACAGAGTGGGCAATGTAGAAGGACAAGATCTCTCTCGTATCTCGCACAAACAGAGATTAAGCGAGGAACATAAGGCAAGGCAGAAGAAATGGGAATCAAATCCAATAAAAAAATTGGGGAAAAAGCAGAGTTTGCAGCAGTAGATTGTGTAGAAATTGAGTGTAATTTGTGTAAAAAATTGGGGGTTTCGTGTGGTTTCCACTGAGTTTCGTTCTTGGTGTTGTTTGGGTGTATCTGTGTCTCTGAGTTCCGCAAAGTATTCTGAAAGAAACAAAGAGGAACGATTTCAGAATTCTCTCAACTCCCTTCCCTTCTTCCTAGTGATTACTCCTTTTTATTTCTCTCTCTTTTTTTTTTCCCTTTTTTTTTTCTCCTTTAAATATTAATTAATCTCTCTCTCTCTCATTTTATTTTTATTTTTATATTTTTATATGTTGGGTGATTGGAGGTCACACGCAAGTGAGAGGGGTAAAATAGGGTTACTACCATTTTTCTACTGAAATATGCTTCGATGTAATTTTGGTTTGGAATTCAATTAAATATTTAGTTAAATCTTGAATATTGTTAATTTATTTACTAACATATTTTATGTTATAAATATTCTTGATAAGAAATGAGTTTATAACCTAAAATAGTATTTTTGTCAGATTTTTTTACTCTTATGTGTAATTCTGAATTTTAAATTTCAAATATTAAAAAAGGTTGTTTTTATAATTTTAAAAACAATAAACAAATTTCGGGTTAAATTGAAACATAGAGATGCTCTGAAATTTGTATGTTGAATTATAAATTTTAGTTGATCAACTTTGAGAGTTTTAGTTTCTAAATTTTAGAAAGTTTCTATTATGTCTTTGGAACTTTCCATTTTAATTCTAACGAAAATATATTTTGAGTTCAAGAGTCAGGAGATTTGAATCTTAACATTTAAATAAGTAAACAATGTTTTCACTGCTACGCTCATATTGGCTAATTCTAATAAGTCATCGTTGTTGAAATTTTGACAATTTAATTGGATTAAAACAAATTATGTTTTTAGCATGTAGAATGAAAATCGAAAGTTGATAGACCTAATTAAAACTTTTAAAATTTAGTTGAAGTCGAAGTAGATACAACTATCCAAATTGAAACGCTAAATAAATACAACCATAGAAATTGTGGAACTAAACTTATATTTTAATCAAACTTCTATCCAATTTTTATGTTGGTTTAATTTTGATCAAAAGAAATATAATTCATAAGTTTGCCCATTGGATAAATTTGGCCTTCTTTTTAGTCAAACAACATGTGAAGGTAGGAATTTGAACCTCCGACTTTTTGATAGATGATACATGTTTTAATTAGCTGAACTATGCCCGGCTTGGAAGATAAATTTGATCTAAATGAGTGTGAGGACGTAGCAAATAGTTGGATACATATGCTTTTGACCACGTGGATTAAACAGAAGTACTGTAATTCAAAATTTAGGATAGGAGACTAAATTAAAATAAGATCAAGAATATTTGGACGAGCAAAAATTTTATTGTTCGATTTTTAAATTTTGGAGGGAAGAAAATTAGAGAGAAAACCTTTAATATCTTAAATTTTTTATATAATTTTTAATCTAAGACAAATTCAAAAGGAACACTTTTCTTTATCCTTTACTACTCCGATCCTAAATATGATATTCGAAGTTGAAGATATTAAAATTTACAAATCACATCCAAAAACTATTCATATTATTTAAAACTAAAAGCATAAAACTAGTCTTCCAAAATAGCTCTCTCAATCATAACACATTTATCACAAACTTTATCAACAAAGTAGCATCTTAGCATTTTGAGATAATCCAATGTTACCTTCTGAGTGAAAATACAATAATTGAAGAACAATGATCAATTTAGACATACATGGAAAATATGTAGGCTCTAGTAGAAATAGAAATTATATAGTTTTTGGACTAAGATAGAGAGAAATATAATAGTAGTTCAAACCTTCATAGATAAGGATCATTTTTTAAAAAATGACATAAATCTATGGGAGACTTTTATATTTTTTTTTTGTTTAAATACTATTTTGGTTGATTTATTTTATGCTTTTTGTTCATATTGATCGGGATTTTTTTAAAGTGTACTTTTTGATTCTTACACTTTCTCGTTTATTTATATTGTATTTTTAAAACGTTTGTCTGGTTATTTATACTTTTAAAAAGTGATAATTTTTATATGTGTTTGAAAATTTTTAAAATAAATTACATATAAACATTAATTCTTTAATTCAAAGTTATGAGCTATATTGCAAGAATTTTATTGAATATTGTTGTGTTAGAATTGTGAATGAAAAAAATGAGATAAAAAGAAAAATGAAAAGATCGAAATAGTCACTTTTAAAGGTACAAGTATCAAATTAAACATTTCAAAAAATATAATAATTAAAACCGCTACAAGTAAATGGATTAAAATGAACATGGACAAAATATATCAAAATTGAAATTACAGGGACAACATAGTATTTGAATCTAAAGTAAAATTTTTGCCAACACGAACATAGTTCGATGGTTAAAGCATCTACTCCTATTCTCGGGATAAAAATTTTACCCCACACTTGTGGTACTAAAAACAGCATTATATTTCTTAACCTAAGGGATTTTTATTTATTTATTCAAAATTGTATGGTTTCGTCAGTGTACTTTCGATTGTGGTACTAAAAATAGTGATCATTTTGGTCTCTATTTGAAAAATGTTAACACAAATTGTATACAAAATAGAAATCCTTTAATACAAATTTATATTTACATTTCAAAAAACTTATTGAGGAAAATATCTTGTTAAAAGTTTAATTGAAATAAATGAGATAAAAATTAAAATGAAAGAACCAAAATGACCTATATTTAAAAGTATAATGACTAAAATGAACAAAAGTTGAAAGTATAGCGACCAAATTAGGCGTTTCGAAAGTACATAAATCAAAATAAATCAAAATCATCGAAAGTAAACGAATCATGTGTATCTAACTATTAGTCAATATGAACATAACTCAACTAGTTAAAACACTTATTTTCGATAAAAAGTCGTGAGTCCGAATATTCCAAAATGTACTTATGTAATTTCATAATTTGTACACATCATTATCAGAACAAGATAAAATTTATTACATTCAATTAAATTATTTATAATACTTAGTTATGTATTGTTTATTCTAATTTCTCTAAATATAATATTCTCATAAGCAATTATTGCTATTTCATTCATGACATTAAGTGTTGATACTTGTTAGAAAATAACTAGTGGCTTTAAACCCTAAATGGAATCTATATTGACTTTTTAAAAATTAATAATAGCACTAATTCTTTACAAAATATAAATTTGTTATTTCACTTTCAAAATAGATATCAGAACAAAGATGTTTAAGATTCTTCTCTTTTTAACTTGACATGAACTTATTATTATAATGAATTGGAAAATATAAAAAAATTAATAATTTATATTTTTTTCATCTGCAAATTGTTAATTTAGTAATCCATATATAACTAAATAGATTTAAATATTAACATCATTATTAGAAAGTTTTACACTTAATTCAAATATATTTTAATTCCTCAACTTCGTATAAATAGAATTGTCTTGATTATTACTGTTAATTTTTAATATTTAACAAGAAAACTCAACACTAACCTTTTTTTTTATGACACTCAATACGAACGTCTTACATGTAATTAAGAATATTTGGCTATACAAACATCTATTAACCATGTTTTTGTTACATAATTTATTAGAAAAATTAACAGAAATTACTAAAATGATTTTTTAGGTAAAGTTTTAGGAGCCGAACGTAGAAAAGTTGAAAATTTAAGAACTAAAATGAAATTTAAAAAAATTAAAAATTAAATGTTTAAATTAAGTTATACTTTCGATTTTGGTTCATTTTGATAATTGTATTCTCATAATGTCCAATTTTATCCTATATTTTCAAATTTTTTTAATTTTATTTCCGTTCTTATATTTTTAAAAGTAAATCATTTCGATGCCTTCATTTTTATCTTATTTATTTCAATAAAAAAATTTACATAACACTTTCTCATTTGATTTTTTGAAAAGTAGCAATAAATTTGTGTTAATATCTTGTAAATAGAGATCAAAATTGTCACATTTTAAAATTACAGACTAAAACAGACATTTTGAAGTACATAGATTATTAAATGAGCAAAAATTAAAAGTACATTATTAAAACGAATTAAAATCGATAGTAGAACGGACAAAATAGTATTTAAGTTGGTTGAGAAATGCCATTAAATAATTGTTTTTATGAATCTTTTATCCTGATTGCTTGAAGGAATAAAAGGAGTAAAATATGGGAAAAGACAATTTCTTTATTATTACGGGTGACATTTGGTTAATTGAAGAATCTAAACCAAAAAATAAAATAAAGTCTTAACAAACTATTATTCAAAAAAACATATTTTAATTAATTGACATGTGTCGATGAGATCTCCTAAATCTATATTAATTGGAGCCAATGACATGGCAATATATTAAAATATAAAACTCTAAAATGGATTATGGCTATTGATTGGCGAAGGACACATATTAATATATCTCCATGCCACATTTTAAATGTAATTTTAAGAAAAAAAAAACGAATTTACTATCTATGTAGAATTTGGATTTGAGTCGCAATGCAATAAACGAAAACTTGTACATATAAAAAATATACTACAAATGATGCTAAATCGAACACACATTTTGATGCTGAAATCATAGTTAGGTTGAACGTACCAAATACTAGAGATGTGAAGAATGTACTTTCTCCTGTTTATAGAGGAAGTCTGTTCGAATCGATTTGGATCACAACTCGATTGGATTAGGTCGGATCGGTATGGTTTGGTGATTAGACTAGCGGTCCGACTTGATGGACTTGACCTATGTAGCGTGTATATATGTAATTTTTCAATCTTTTAATTGAGTAACTATTGTAATATTTGAAATTTGGAAATTTCTAATCGAGTGGATGGTTTGAATTAATAGTTCTATCATATGTGGTTAAGTCCTTGTAGATTCTCGTCCCAGATAAGGGAGTTGAATTAATAGTTCTTTTAGCGTCTCGAACTCAAACTAGTTCTCATGGTGGACAATTTTAGTTATTATAAATATTTAATTTTTTTAATAAAATTGTGAAACATTTTTAAAAAATTTTATTGTGTGGGACTAATAAATAATAAAAATATTAAACTTCACAAAATAATATTTTAACACGAGATTGAGGATAAGAAGTGCATTTTTTGACTTGTCTTGATATTATCTTTAATATTCATTGATTTGACTAAGGATGGGATGAAAGAA